CCCGTTAGTGTCTCAAGGAGCCACCGCGGTCGGGCAAGTGTAGGCCTGAGGGGAGAGCAGGACGCGTTCTGCCCTTGGCAGACATGCCACAAAGTGCCGTCGGGTTTCTTGTCCGTGGCACGCGGGGGCACTCGCCATCCTAATGGCCCCTGCCGGCTGTGGTGGCATCAGCCTGTCCCCCAAGGAGTGGGCCGGAGTGGGTCCCAGTCAGCTCGTAGGACCTGACGTCCTGTCGCAATTCTCACGCTCTTTCAAGGTCTCTCTCCGGGTGGGAACCGCTGAGGACCAGCCTGCCTTTTGGAGGGGAGATGGAGGCCACCTTCAGATCTCACCCTCTTTCAGGGGCTTCCCCCCAAGCCTTGGTAGGGGACTCGGGGCTGTGGTGGAGCCCTGGGGTCCCTCACCTTTCCCCCCTTCACATGTGGCAGTTCTTGTTTTGCAGGTGCAGCCGGGTGTGTAGCAACATTGCTCCACGATGCAGCCATGAACCCTGCTGAAGGTAACAACGGTCCTGGCATGCCGGGGAGGGGAGGATCAGGGTCTGCCCGAGCCTCTTGAGCCCCCTCTGTGGCACAGAGCGTGCTCTCGTTGCTTGCTCAACTGCAAGGATGCTTTGGGGGCCTGTGGCTCCAGTTAGGGATTCTGGTGGCTGCCTGTTATGGGCAGGGTAGGTAGATATCCTTAGCTTGGAAGCACAGCAAATCCCAACTTAAGAGGAGCTGGAGGGGCATGGGCCTTTCATCCAGGAGTTTGGCTGGGTACAGTTTCCGGTTACCTGGAACAAGAGAGAAGGCAAGAGAGATGTGATCTGTACTGCTGAAGTCATTCCAAGTGTGTGGAAGTGAGGCATTGCTGTGGTGAGATCTCGGGAAGATGTGGTACAGTTGTGGGCCTGTGTTCAAGAAGAAAGTGAAAAGAATGGGGTGCAAAAACATGCTAGAGAAGTCAGGAGAAGGGAGATTTTGTGCTGTGAAATGTCTGGAACATGCTGATTTTGTTGAGCCCCATATGTATGAAAAAAGCAGAGGGAGTTTGTGAAAAAAAAAAGTCTGTGAACATGGTGGGAAAAGGAGGAATAATGAGAAAAGGCCAGTATGACGGTACTTTTTCCTCTTCAAACTGGAGGGCTGGTGACCGTGCAGGCCTGGCAAACTGATCTGGGCCCAGCAAGGCTTCTGCCTGCTACATGTCTGTGACCCTGAGGAGCAGGCAGCAGCCTGGCCAGACTGTTGTCATTCCTTCCCTGGAGCTTGCCTTGTCATGACTAGTAGTTTATAGTCACATCGTTTTTAGCTCCTTGTGGTCATGTTGAGATAGGGCAAGGCAGGACAATGGCAGACTGTGCTCTGGGCTCCCCTGCCCCACTCTTGGGTGTGTTATGGGGGGATTGGGATCTGAATTTTGCCCCGGAGTGGCTGTGATTCGGCAGTGGCTGTTAACAGTTTCTGGCTGGTGAGCTCTGCAATCTGTGGTTATTCTGGGCTGCCAGGGGGGTGGTTGGGGAGGGACAGTCTTACCCAGATCAAGATCTGTCTGGAAAATAAAAGAATAGATGCAGAGGGGTTTCTTCTGACTGTGTGGTAGCTCTGCAGCAGTGAATGGGGAGACATCAGTTGCTTGGGAATGAGGGTGGATCTGGAGTATAAGTGACAGGATATCGGGATGTTCCCTGGGGCTGTGGCAGCAGTGGGGTTTGAAGGTGGTAATGTCTGCAACAGTGATGCCACCTCAGATCTAAATCGCCTGGAGTCGTGTCGGGACGCACAGGGCACTGCTGGTTCAAGTTGTCTGTCACTAGCTCTTGGGCCAGTGTGACCAAACTCCAAGCATTTGGAGGAAGCCTGGCTTTGTGTTTACTCTTCTCTTTCCTCTTCCCCTCTACGCCTGGGTCCTGGATGCTGCTGCTGGCTGCCACTGTCTGTTCCAAGTGGTCAAGCAGAGGATGCAGATGTATAACTCGCCTTACCAGCGTGTGATGGACTGTGTGCGGGCTGTGTGGCACAACGAAGGGGCTGGAGCTTTCTACCGTAGCTACACCACCCAGCTCACCATGAACATCCCCTTCCAAGCCATTCACTTCATGACCTACGAGTTCTTGCAAGAGCAGCTCAACCCCCACAGACAGTACAACCCAGGCTCCCATGTGGTCTCTGGAGCCTGCGCGGGGGCTGTGGCTGCCGCTGCCACCACACCTTTGGACGTTTGCAAAACGTTGCTCAACACCCAGGAGTCCCTGGCCTTGAGTTCCAACATCAGTGGACACATCACAGGCATGGCTAATGCCTTCAGGACGGTGTACCAAGTGGGCGGTGTGACTGCCTACTTCAGAGGGGTCCAGGCAAGAGTCATTTATCAGATGCCCTCAACGGCTATTGCGTGGTCCGTGTACGAGTTCTTCAAATACATCCTCACCAAGCGCCAGGAGGAGCGTCGGGCTGCAAAGTGAACCAGAGCCAAATGCCATTCCAGACCTGTCTCACATCCACTCCTGGTCTGTCTTCTGACCTCTCTCTTTTGGTTTGGTTTGTGTAGAAGAGAGGGGGCACTAAAGCCCTTCAGGGTTCAGTGATGCCATTTTTTGCCTGTGGCTGTTGCAGCTCTGCTTAGGCTGCACACCTTGCTCTCTCCTAGGATCCTCCGAGATGTCCTGCTGGGAGCTGCAGTCTGGGTCATGTCCCCCTGGCACTTTGCTGGAGCTGTGCTCCTGTCCTTCCCTAACCACAACGTCTCGCAAAACTCACCTCTCCTCAGAGGGGGAGATGAATGTCCTGCCCTGCTTCTGGCAGGGCCAAGCTGAGCTCACAGTCGCCAAGGAGAGGGTGATGGCAGGATGCTGGGGGCTTTGTCTGGCTCTTAGCTGAAGCAAATTGTAAGCCTTGGCCGTTGTCTTGTAGCACGCACATGTAATGCTGATTGCCCAGGTGGTGGTGGTGGGCAAGGGGGAGGATAGCACTTGAGAAGGGGAGCCTGTAGGTTTGTTTTTGTTCCTGCTCTTGACACCTCAAATAAAAACAATTCTGCTCTATTCTCATGTCCCATTCTTACTCCCATGTGGCCCAGCTCCCTGCACTGTGCCCAGTGCTGAGCTCTTTTGATGAGTGCCAGAGCAGGGAGAGAAGTGGGTTCTGAGGGTGGTGGGACCTGCCTGGCCCAATCATCCTGGCAGCATGCAGGGATGAGAGTGGTCCCTGTTCCCTTTGGCTCATGGTCCATTGCCTGCTGCTGATGTGGGTTGGGACCCCACTGGGAAAGTTGAGGTTTATGTTCCTTGGCCAGGTAGTCCCACACTCAGTGTGACAGGAGGTCCTTGGGATGCTTTCAAACTGCTCCCAGTGAAGGTATTGGCGGGAGGGTCCTGGGTTGTGTGTGTCAGGAATTTTGGTGCTGAGTGAGGCTGGAGGCCTTTGTGCACCTCATGTAGGAGATTTGGGGCTCAGCAGGACCTTTGCCCCTGATTTTGAGTAGTTTGATGCTTGATAAACGTCTTAAGATTCTATCAGCACACTCGCTCGAAGCGCCAATGTTTTTTCCAATCTAATGTTAATGAGTAGAATAATATTTTTTTACATGTTGTTAGTTGTCTTGATACCAACTTCTTTTAGAGTCCCAACCAGCTCTGGAGCTGTGATCCAGCCTTGCTGGGTTGTGTGCTGAGCACCAAAGTATCACCTCGTGCTGACCTGCCCAGAGCAAAGCTCTGGGTTCCTTGAACATCATAAGTGATGCCTGACTCTCACAGGATGCTTCCTTAGTGCGTTCAGGAGTGGCATGTGTCCCATGGTGCTATGCCCAAAATAACTCCCTGGAGGAAATGCAATCACAGCCGTGGTATGTGTTGCCAGTGGGTATCTGGGTGAGCTCAGGGCTGCTCCAGAGGATCTGCTGGCCTGGCCTGTACAGAGGACTGCTGGAGTGGGCTGTGGTGAGGGAAAGGGGATTTTCTGCAGCTGGGTGAGCAAGGAGGATGCACAGCCCTTGGGGGCATTGGGCTCCAGCACTGCTGGGGGACTGGAGGGCAGGGACCCCTGCACTGCAGGGCTGGGTGCTTTTCACCCTGCCCAAGTCCCAGTCCAGCCCTGGATCCATCTTTCCCTTATGCATCTTTCTTGCCTGGGCGGTTCCTTGGAAGGTTCCTGAAGGCAGTGAGGGTAGCTGAGTGATTGCCTGTGGGATTTCTGATGGGTACCTGGCAGATTTGGGTGTCCCTGGGGACAGCAGCCACAGCCATTGCTCTGCAGCCTGGGTCCGCCTGGGTTATGTGCTGTGCCCATCCTCTACTCCCTGCTGTGGTCTGCTGGTTTCTGTTTTTTCTGCACAAGCAGGAGGATGAGAAAGTTCTTAAAGATACAAAAGCCTATGGAGGTCAGAAACTTCCAGATTTCCCACCATTTCAGGAGCTGTTATGAAACAGTCTGAGTATTGCAAGATTTGGCAGCGCTTTGGCTCCTCCACCCAAGCGGGAGAAGCAGAAATGGCTGGGATAGACCAGGGGAGGATTAGCTTGGAGGGCAGGTCATTAGACAGTAGTTTACAGAAGACAGATATGACTAGACTCTGCCAGGATGAGTCTCTGCCCAGGAGCCGAAAACTGTTGGCAGTAGAGCTGCAGCTTTGCCTTTAGCCCTGGGGCAATGACAAACCCCATGGAGGGAAAGGCATAAACGTGCACTGGGGCTGGGGGAAGATTCACGCTATTAAATCCATCAGCTGCTGGAAGAGGGTCTATAAATGTCAGCGGCTGAAGAGATGATTGACAGTGACTCCAGGATGTTTCCAGGAATAACTGTCCACAGAAGTGCTGGGGGAGGGAGTGAGACCCCCAGGAACGGGGACATGGTAAGTCAGCACAGCACAGAGATGCTGCTCTGTGAGCAATTGGCCTCAAGTGTTCCCCTGGCAAGGGCACAGCCCTTCTGGTCTCCTGGTGCATTGCCAGCTTACCCAGCAGCAGCTGGGTGTTGCCCAGTGCAGGCAGCTGCAGCCCTGCAGGGAATGGTGCTGCCTGTGATGAGTCTGGCACTGCAGGGACAGCAGATCTGCCCAGGGGGTTCCCAGATATCCCTTGGGCCAGGCTGCAACAGACTGGAAAAATCCCCTGCCCTGCTGCCATCTCCATCCTCTGAGCTGAACCTCTGCCACAGACCAAGAGCTGGCTGTGGCAGCGTACAGCTGCTCCCCAGCTCTGCCAGTTTGGGGGTGTTCCTCTGAGACACAGCCTGGTTCCTCTGGCACCTTTGGCATGATAAGATGCCCAGAGGGAATGGAGTTATTGGCTGGGGGGGGGGGGGGGGGGGCCAAGGTCTGATAATGTCTCAGTGTAGGCATGCTGCTCTGGGTCTGTCCCATGGCCTCCTAGGTATTTGGCTGTGCTTCGAGTGAGATCCCTCCTACAGCCTCTTCTGAGTAAAGAGACTATTTTTGGCTTTCCAGCAAGGAAGCTATGCTAAGTCCGACATAGTTTTGGAGACAATCCCTTTTTCTTTCACTTCCCTGCAGGATCCCCAGCCACATCCAGCACAGGCAGGGATTTGCTGCCTTGCCTTCCTGTGTCCAGCTGCCCCTCGAGCCCTGTCCTGCCACTGGTGCCGATGTGTCCTGGGTCAGGTGAACTCCACATTCCCCATGCTGGCAGAGCCAGGCAGCACCACTGGCCTGGCCCCACTCCAGGTGGTCGATCCAGGGCTGCCACAGCTGTGCTGTAGCACAAGCCCAAACTATTTCAGGCAGTCTGAGGTTGTGGTGCCAGGAGTAGCTCAAAAGCCCCTGGCTACCTTCCTGGGGTTACTGGAGATGCCTGCACTCCTGCACGGTAAGGGCAGAGCTGGGGGGAGGGAAGCTGAGGGTGAGGATTCATCTTCCCCAGAGAAAGAAAAGGAGATCCCTCCAGTGTGTCTGCCCCATACTTTCATCTCAGGGCCGGTGGGCTCCTGAGTTGCTCCTGCCTTGAAGACCCCACACAGGGTGCTGATGTCCCAGCCCTCGGAGGCTTTTGCCAGCCCATCTTGGGCCTGGCGAGGGTGGGAAGGGCACTGACCTGGCAAAACACATCCCTGTGCTGTCTCTGCTTGCACCCTGGGCTACACTGAACTTTCCTGCCCCTGAGGGCCTCTGCAGTGGGTGTCTGACAGCCCTGGTGGGGGAATGTGGCTGGAGCCCATGGGAAGAGGAGAGGAGAGCTCACAACCTCCCTCCAGCCCCAAACCACCCTGGCTCTGGGATTCCTCAGGGCTGTCAGACCCCAATAAAGTTGTACAAGTTCTCATGAACTCATGGCCTTACAGTGATGGTAAATGAGGGTGCCAGGGCTGCTTGGACACAGAGCAGACATTGCCTCTTGTGCGCCTGGGAAACCCTCTTCTGACCCAAACTGCTGCCTAGGTTAAACTGCAGAGAGACAACTCCTGTCTGGGCTGGTCCCAGGCTG